TGCATTTGTACTTCAAACTGGATGTTGTCAATCAAATTTCTCCTGTAAAAGTTTTGAGATGGCTTGACTGGGCAATGAAAAATATGTATTATCACTGTACAACCTTTTGATAGGATTTCGGCATCCTCGGGTACAGTTATAATATTGTTTTTCATTACCCATTCAAGCCATCTCAAAACTTTTATTTTCTTAATAGTAGGTTCCTCCTTTTCAAATTTCTACTATGTTATTTGTTTTTGTACTTTACACTTGGTATTTTTTAATAAAATTTCTATTGTGTCATTTTAATTTTGAACTTTAAACTGTTTTTCAATCATATTTTGCTGTATCATTTTGTACTTTAAACTGAGTGTTTTTGATCAAATATCTAGGGTGTCACATTGCCTTTTTTATTTCAAATTGGATGTTTTTGATACATTTTCTACTCTGTCATGCTGCTGTTTTTACTTCAAACTGCTTTTGTACTTCAAATCGGATGTTTTCAATCAAATTTCCACTGTGTCATTTTGATTTTAAACTTCACAGGAGGTCTTTTTAGTTAGTATTTAAGATTGAGATATCCATGGTTTTTAAATAAGTCATATTTCATGTTCTTAATGTAGTTTTTTTTAATACTTTTAATTTTGTTAGTTTTTTTATTAGTACTTATGAGTTACTTTGGTTTTGTGTAGAAAATATCCATTCTTAAGGTGTGAAATATTCCTTTTCTCAGTGATAACACTATATAATACTTATTTATATTTTTATATCTGCTTATACACCTGTGGTTTTTGTAGGTTATTGTTCTCGATGCAAACACCCAGTTTATTGAGCATATTATCTTCATAATGAAAAGTGTGTTGGAGAATGAAGTAGACCATACTGCTGAACATCTTGGGGTAACCAGCATAGAGGGAATGATGTTAGCTATTGTCAGGTGAGAATATTAAAGTTCAGAACTTTGTGATTAAAGTCAGTCCAATACAATTACTTACCTCCACTTACAGTTACAGCTATTCTAGAGTTGACTGCCCTCTAATGCAGAATGTTTCACTTGCCACTAGCCTTGAACCCTTACCTAATTTCATGTTTAAGCCACATGTTTAGTTGTTTTTAAGCCTGCAAATCAGCATGTGACAACCCTCTACCAATAGAAGTGGGACACACCCTCCAATCACAACTGATTCCCTCCATAAAGTTGAACCCAATCTTCACTTCTTGATTTGGCATGACAGTGTTAAGATCTAGTGCTTGATTTCAGAAATTTTTTTTCTTTAGTGCATTTTAAAAATATTGTTATTGATTTTCACATTTCATTTTTCATTTATATTGCAATACCAAGTTGGGTTTCTTTATTTGATTGTGAATTCTTATTCTCACTCAATCACTAGTAATCAATCAATATTTTTGAATTCACAATTTACTATTACAACTACAATGGCTACCAATGGTACCAGCATTCAATAGCCCATGACAACGACTGCAGGTGCAACATTCTCGGCAGAGGATGTGTTGGCCATAATTTGTCAGGAGGTGGCTTCTTTCATGTGGGCTGAAGGATATCCTGATCTAAAAGCAATTCCGCCATTACCTGAAGACTTTGATCAGGATGATGCAGACCTGGATAGCTCCCTTCCCCATTCCTTTGCTGTGCAGGTACATTCTCAGCCTGTTGAAGCAGCTAGACCTCAGTTACCATTTTTAGACTTGATATCACAGCTATGTTGTGTTTTGTCTTTGTCACCTGTGTCATTTGATCCCTCTCCTTCCTTATTAACTGCAGCACCTAGTTCTGAGTTTTTGATTTTCTCCCTGCACATGATATTAGTGTCTGTGCCAAATGTTTTGCAGACCATTTACGTGTGGAAGTTAGTATGCTGTGTCCTCCATGAACTACAGAGGCTAATGCATTTGCATATCATCATTCAGCAAATCCTTTCTTGATGGACAACAATTATATTCACTTCTTCCCCTTTGTTTGCCTCTGTTTCTCCCCCACAACATTCGTTCATTATTTATCGTCCATTCACCTGTTGTCTGGGGCTTTCCGTCATTCTCTCGAGGATTTTTTACCAGAAGCCCATACCCTCATACTCACCAACTTGTCTTTGTCTGCCCTTTCCCTCTGACATTTTGTGAGATCTTTGGTCAGTCCCTTTTCTGAGGTCTATAGTCTTTGGTGGGTTCCAGACACCTTGGAGTCTTGTGTTTAATCCGCTATATTCCCTATCTTCCCAATGTCTTAACCTCCTCCTTCTCCTTCCTCCTCTTTATCAGTTTGTCCTTCCCGGACTACATCTACATGATGTATCATTATTCACTGATACCCTGTACAATGTCAGTGTTACTGGTGACTACCCTATAGATTCGGGTCCTGTGGAAGCCAGGCTTCCTTGATTGAGGACCCTCTCCTGCCAAGAGCTGGTCGAGTTCCTACCAGTGCCACTGGTTGGGTTTGAATCTCCTGATTATGGTTCGATGTGCCCTAGCCACTCTACACATATTTCTTTTCCTTTTGGATTTGGGATGGATTACTTGTTCTACCCTTTTGACTGTGACACAACACCAGTTGGCTCCACTTGGGTGAAGAGTATACATTGTTCAGATGTTGTACAGTCTTCCATTGGCGTGTTTCCTCTACATAGAGGTGGCACACTCCGTGGACACTTTTCAGTTGCTTTTAAATGGTGCTTATCTAGGTAATTTTACACCAGTCCCTCCACCTGCTCAAGAGGGATTCTAGCTGTAACTGTGAAAGGATATAAATAATTGTATCAGAAGTTAATATTTTCCTACACTGAAAATATATTTCCGTTAGATATTTACCACCTCTCACACTTCCCACTCATCCTCCCCCACTTCCGATGTTGTTTTTTCATGCCTAATCTCGAAGTGAAGATTGGGCTCAACTGCATAGAGGGAGTCAGCTGCGATAGGAGGGTGTGTTGCATTCCTGTTGATGGAGGGTTGTCGCATGCTAATTTGCATGATTAAACCCAGCTGAACCACGTGGAATCAGGTGGGAGTTCAAGGCTAGTGTCAAGCAAAATTTGTGCACTAGAGGGCAGTCAAATCAAGAATAGCTGTAACTATGAAAAGAGGTAAGTATCTATCAGAAATATATATATGTAGGAAAATATTAACTTTAAAATATTTTAAACTATATGTTGTTTACCAGTAATTTATTTTAATAGGTAGTATTTTAACCCAATGTGCATGGGTGTGGGGTCAAAGTGCACCTACCACAAACTTTTACAAAGTGCATTTCCATATGGTATTATGTTTGATGTCAGAGTTATGAACTATTTATTTTACCCTACATTGCTGATTTAGCAACAGTTCATTGTAGAGGAGAGTAAATACCAGAAGCAGTATACAGGTATAATGAAAAAAAATCTGTAGATATGAATCTCGGGAGTTCTAGAGGTTATGTAGATTCAATAAACAAACTGCATGATGGACAAAAATATTTTCATTCTTCCATTGGACCAAACCATTACATAGTTGGTTAAAACATTCTGAACTATATGTTGTTCATTGTTTGTTTATTGTAGTAAATGATGCTATAAAACATTTTGAACTATATGTTCATCTTTAGTTTATTGTGGTAGGTAATACTTTAAAACATTCTGAATTACATTTTGTTTATTCTTAGTTCATTGTTGTAAATGATACTAGAAAACATTTTGACCTATATTTTCTTCATCTTTTGTTTATTGTAGTAAATGATACTATAAAACATTCTGAACTACATGTTGTTCATCCTTGGTTTATTGGAGTAAATGATACTTTAAAACATTCCAAAGTACGTGTTGTTCATCCTTGATTTATTTTCATAACTGGTAATTTTGAAACATTCTAACTTCATATTTTTCATCATGATTTACCTTAATAACTAGTAATATTAAATCTTACTAAACTACATGTTTATCTTAATGACTGGCACTTTTAAAACATTCTGAACTAAATGTTGTTCTTCATTGGACTGTAACAGTTCTTTGAACAATTTGTACTTTGTAGAAGTCACTGTTCCAATATGCTTACATAAGTATTCTTTAGCTTGTGGGCGTGGTATGTGAAAGCTTCATCTTAGTAACAACTTGTTCAGGGAGGTTGTCCTTGGAATATCTTTAGTAAACTTTTCTGTTATTTACTTATTAGATACAAGAATATAAAATGAATCACGGACATATAGATCAAACATGTAACAGAACCTTTGATTTAGTCTATGATAAATTCTAACACTGGAAGAATTGTATCTGTACACACGGCACTGGAAGAAGTGATTACCTATAAATGTGGCACTGGAAGAGCTAATAATCTATAAACATAGCACTAAAAGAAGTGATTACCTATAAACATGGCACTGGAAGAACTGATTATCTATAAATGTGGTACTGAAAGAATTGATTATCTGTGAAGAGTTAACAATATATCTGCATGAGTTAACTGTTTATAAAAAAAACATTTATTTATTTATTTACTTTAAGAACAGTTGGGACTTAGCTTCCATAAGATCTCCTCTATCACTCTCTTCTGGCTGTAAGGGCAAACCCCTCAAAAGAGCAGCCACTGCTTGCATACAGGCCTGATCAAGATCCCTCGTCAGGGCAGTAACATCACCAGATCCTGGTGGTGCTATCTGATGACTATTACCCATCACCCAGTCAGTCAGATACTCGACCATTTTGTTACGAAACTTCATTTCTTGACGGAAGGCAAGGTCATCACGACGAGCCATCATGGCTTCTACTAGCTGGCAAAGTTTGGTTTTAATGTGAATTGCATGAACCGTAGTGTCTAAATGACGAACATACCTAGGTAAATTAAGAAAAAAGAACAAAAAATATTTTCTATCAGATTAAGGAATTACATGAATGTCCTAAAACTAGCCTATAAATTTAAATAAAATATTCTACAGCTCCACAAGTTCAAGAGATTCTGTATTTTGTCTTTCATCAGCCTTTTTTTGTACTTCATGTCACAATTAATTTTGGATTCAAATGTAATAAATTTGTTTTCACAACTGTAAAAAGTTTACCAGTGAAAGAGTTAAACAAGTAGCAGTCTTTAACTGTAAAAAAGAAGGCTGTTTCAATACCAATTTTATGACAGTCACTTACAATATGATAAGTGAAATATTTTTAATGTATTTACATCATCAAAAATGTTAAGTATAGATTAAGTTTTAACAACACATACTGATTTTTTAATAATGGAAGAAATAAGTAAACAAACCAACTGAATATGTGCTGAATACTTCAGCCTCAAATTAAGAAAAAGTAAAACCATTATAGACTACAGATGAACTTCTGACCTAAGCAAGCTACCTATATAGATCAAAACCTAAAACTATATACCTATGAATATATATACATCTAATTAAATATAATGTTCAAACTTGATTACTTATAAGGAACCAGATGTACTTCTGCAGGATCCCCAAAAGTGTTCGGTTTCAAGAGTAAATAAAACCAAAATGAATAGTTAAAAAGATTTTTATTTCTTGCATTTCAAGTTTATAAATCATGCTGTGTCGTAGCTTACAGAATGCATAATTCTTCTCATGATTCATGGCATGCACACATTTTACTGACATCCCAACAGTACAACTTGGAACATCAAGCATCCGTTGTGTGATGTCGTTTTAGTGTCTACTGGCTGATTGACAGGTAACACAAGTGACCCCTCTATGTGGTCTTAATCCCCCAATTGGGGAAGTAATGTTAGAATGCATTGTTTTATCAGTTGGATATCCTCACTATTGACAGTATTTTCAGTCGTAAACCCAGTAATGTCTCATGAGGTTCAGCCAGCCCAGTAGACTCAAGTTCATCTTTGATCCATATACCATACTAACAATGCAGAATAATAATTATATTAAATTAGTATAATAAATATAAAAATTAAATTAGAAATAATGAAAATATAAGTAGATGTATTAAGTATTCTAGCGAATACTGTGTACCAAATTGTGATAAAAGTTTCACTTTTTTAGGCTGATGATGTCCAATAATAATTTTGTAAGGTATTATACTTTTCGGTATTTTAACTTTATCCTACTGCATGCCTGATAATCGTTGCAAACCAGCAACAAACTTTCAAGATTAATTTTGTTAAAACTAATGTATTTACTGAATGAAGAGAAATACTAGTTTTGACTGACTTAAATTACAGAAATTGTGTATTACAGCAAGAATCTTTTCCAGAACTATTTAGATATAACTTATGTGTAGAAAAAGTTTGATAGACTTTTTTTTAACCTTTGCAGAATCTGTAGCATTTTTGGTATGTAATTATTCCTAGATATTTTTCACTCTTCATGAACCTACTGAATGAGTGCAGTGAGGTTCCCGAAGAAAAAGATGTCAACCGTCAGAGGGTCCAGACATCTAAGTTAAGTGAACTACGAACCTGCACCATCCAAGCCATGTCCAATCTCCTCAGTGCTAACATTGATAGTGGCCTGATGCATTCCATAGGTAGGGGAATTGAATCAATGAATGATCCAGACTGATTTTACAAGGTTGCTCAAAAATGACACCTTAGGTTCTTATTTACTGTAACTAATGTGTGGAGGAATTAGTTGCACACCAGATACTTTGGTGTATTCTTAGCAGTTATTCTGTTGGTTGCTCCACCAGACCAGGTAGTTAAACCAGGTAGTTTGGTTCACAGGAAAATCTTAATTGAAAAGGTTATTTTTACTTTATTATTTTTTGGGGCACCTTTTAGATTGGAGTTTGATATATTACCTAATTTTGAATGTACATCATCAACTTCTGACAGTTTTTCCTTGCCAACATAATAAGTATCTGAAGCTTCCAAATTCAGGATTAGCCTTGACACCTATTATTCATTAGTCTAAATATAAAATGTTAAAAGCTTAAAAATGTACATTATTATATGTTTGATGCAAAATCTTGCAAGTCTGAATATATAGTGTTACAAGTGATGTGCATCAGGTTCTATACAATTAGTCAAGGTAATACACATAATGAAAAATAGTTAGTTATTTATCTATTTTTATCTAAAATAGTTTACTTTCATCTGTGTACCAAACAATCTTAAACAACTTTGGTTTCTGTTTTTCAAAGCCAAATGCAAATTGTTAAACATATAATTTTTTTTAAAGTATCAACTCCATGTGAATGTGCATTACTGCAAAGTTTTTAGAAATGAAAATTCATGTTAGCATTATTTGATTGAATTGTGAACTTTAAAATCAGGTCTTGGGTACCATAAGGACTTGCAGACCAGGGCAGCTTTCATGGAAGTATTAACCAAGATTCTACAGCAAGGAACTGAGTTTGATATGTTGGCAGAAACTGTTCTTGCTGATCGCTATGAACAACTGGTTCAACTTGTAACAATGATAGGAGACAAAGGAGAGCTTCCTATTGCCATGGCTCTAGCAAGTGTTGTAATGACTCCTCAGATGGTAAGTAGAAGACTGTTCAGCTTTGATGTAGTTGAAAGAGTCAATTTAATATTGTTCAGCTAATGATGTAGCTTAGGATAATATCCTATTATCATGGTTCTAGCAATACTAGAAATAACTACCACTTGTTGTGTAGTGTAGCAGGCATGTGGGCAGCCCGTGGGCTTAGTCATTGGGTTCAACTTTACACTCGTTACAAAGTATTTTCGGGTCATGCTGTAGCAAGCATTTTGTGCAGGCCACCAATGCGAGGAGGTTTACATGTGGAATAAAGAAATCACACAGAGACAATTAATTACAAATCAAATAACTTCTTTAGTTAAACACTGTTGAACTGTTCATTCATATCAAAACTCTCAAGGTTTTGCGATAACACTACTTGTAAGTCATTAAGTTCTTCATTTTGAAAGTCTAAATGTTTGTTATGTCCCCTTTTATTACATCCAATAACATAGATATAACATTAATTATCAATTAAGTTAACACAAAAAATTACTACTCTGTCATAATCTGTATAACTGAATTAGCAATTCTTCTAAGATATCTTTAAGTAATTCCACTTTAACCCTTTCCAGATGGATCACAGATGAAAGGCCAGGTCATCTCGTTTGTTGACTTGCATTCAAAATTT